GCTTGGATTTTTTGAAACTTGCCAATACCGCATCTTAAAGAGCATACTTTATTCTAGTAGAAACTGTCGAAAATAGGACTTCTTAAATAAGTACAACGGGTGAATGAAATAAAAAGATTGTAACGAATTTTTCTTGGAAAGTTGCTATTTTTACTACTTGTGCTTTGTCCTCTTATAATTTCGCTGCATGTCAGTTTAAGAAAATTGTTATGACATGGTTTTGTAGAGAATTCAATAAGGAATCTTTTGGAAAAAGATTTGGATCGATAGGATAAAAGCCGGCGGAGTTATATTCAAAGTACGAGAGTGCGTTTATTTATGCGCCACCCGTTAGATTACTAGTTGGAAAAGGGACTTTTAACTACATGTCCGCAGGTGCATCTAGTAATAATTAAATCGATCGATTATCGGGTGATAAATCGATAGTTGCAACTAGAAAAAATCTAGTAATCGCCCAATTACTAGATTTCCATTGTTGTTACACAGTAATTGCAATCGAGTAAAAATCTAATAATCTAGATGAATCGGGCGATACTAGATTGTTTTTTGACGCTTGGGTTTATGTTTTACATAGTGCTACAGTTAAAAACAACAGAAAATTTTCGTTGCATGCCTGTGCAGAGAATCTTTTTCTCCAGATTTAATATAACAATATAGCAAGAAAAAGCGTCATTTCCCTTCAAATTTTTGCTCTTATTTAGCTTTATGCTAGTGTTGGTGCATCACTCGGTGGAATGTGTTCATTACTTTCTGGTTTACTTTATCCACAATATGTTTCAAAGTGAGTAGTGAGTAGTCAGGGGTAGTGGTAGCCTTTCTGGTTCTTCTTTAAATGACGTTCTGTACAACAGGGAGATATCTGTTTTGTGTATAGAATAATAACAATTTCATCATGTACCTCGCCAGATCCAACTAGTATTGCATTACGTCATTTACAACGTAAAATGATTATGACTGATCCAAATTGGAATAATGGTGATTATTATGAAAAAAATGTATATCCTAAAGATGGAATGCAAACTGCAAGGTTAGTTATCACAGAAAAAAGAATTGCTAAATGAGATACGATTGATTTCGTTTCTGTCCGTTGTCTTCCGAAGGAAATGAAAGTTTCTCAGATTCAGACTTTCGGGATTCTCCACATGAAACTCACGCTTCTTCTGGTCGTCGTTTACATCATTCTTAAAGTCGAGGTGATCATGTCGCTCTGCTCTTTTTATTTTTCATCTCATTCATAAGGTGCCGGAAATTTAAAACTTGAGCAGGACTTTTTTTTCTCGCTCTTTCTGCCATATTTGACTTTTTATCAAAAATCTCAGACGACAAGTTTAAAAAGCATCAAAGTTATCAAAACTGCTGAAACGCACATCAGTCAATTCAGTTTTTGATGCTGATCCCAAATATGACATTGGTTGCAGAAATATCGAGGTTCGACGTCGAAAACTGCAGAATACGAATGCATTTCCTTGGTTTTTGCTATCTGTTTCAAAAAAGTTAATTTTCTCAACAACGAAACAATGTTTTACAAAACGTATCCATTACGTTTTCCCCGTATATATGATGATTAAGATGAGGTAAAAAAATCTATTTTATCTTCTAATCTGTAGAACTAGATAGGTTTGTAAGATGTATAGGTGCATTTTTCGATTCTGCTCGTGATTCGCTAATTTCAAAAACATTTTTGGCCTTAAGAATGTCTAGAGAGGAGTTTAAACTCAGTTTTGCATGCTGAATCAGAAAAAAATAGTCTTGAATTTTAAAAAAGAAATAAAGGGCGAATTTTGTTTTTCTGGGGAAAATTCACCGATCTTTTTTGTTCCTTTTCAAAAAATTAATACTTTTAAATTTTTTCACCCAAAACTCACTTTTAAAAATCCAAAATAAAAGTCTGTTCTACGTAACTCAATGAGCTCTATCCAAATCTGGTAGAAAGAACGAAAAAAATTCTTACTGAAATTTTGAATTTTCGCCATCTTACTATATTATCGATATTTCTTTTCTTACACACGACGATTTAATCATCGGGGATTTTCACATTCTCTACTCCAAAAGAGCAACGGTCACGAGCTTTTCCTTGTTATCTATCTTTGATAGCCTGTCAGAAAAAGAGATCGAGATTGCTTACCAGTTTTATTTTGTATTTTCAATTTGAACTTTATGTCGCGTGCAAATTTCCTAAGTTCTTTCTAATCGAACTGTACAAGATACTCTCTAGAGAGTTCTTGATATGCTCAAAATTTTCGCTTAGAAACGGAACTTTAAAATAAAGGATATTCAGAAATTTCAGATGATTTGCTTTCGGATATGTTGACCTTTACATGCTGTTATTGATTTTTTTATCTGTATTTGTTAAGCGAACTTGCTACATTAACCAATCGTAGTGAAATGGTTAAAAAATGTTTTGGTTTAAATCGTTTTACTAAATTAATATCATTAGAACCATCATTTGAAATTGAACGTTATTTACATCAGGACGGAGAAAGATTTGCAGAAAAATATGATCCAAATTCTTTATTATATCTTTCTAAAGTAAATTTAGCTAGTGCACTCTCTCTCTCTACTCTCTAAAAAAAAAGGTTTATTACAAAACTTAAAAGGGTATAGAGAAGTGCAACCATTTCTAAACCCTTTTAGGTTTCGCAGAAGACAAGGTGCAGTACGAAACCGTTTTGTGATCAATCACCGTTTGTTGCATTTGCTTATTTCTTTATGTTTGTTCCTCATAATTTTTTCTCGAAAAGTCAAAAATTAGAGAAGTTTCAGGTATTTTTTTGGCTCAGTTTTCGTCGCCTTATACAATGAAAACACGCCTTAGCTGCCGAAATGATCCACTTACTCAAAAAATTTTTTTTAGAAAAAGACTCCTTGAATTTATGCACTTAAACGGTTTCGTACTGCACCATGTCTTCTACAAAACCTAAAAGGGTTTAGAAATGGTTGCACTTCTCTATACCCTTTTAAGTTTCGTAATAAACCTTTTTTTTAGAGAGTACGAAATCTATCAACAGGAGCAGTAAAGAAATATTGTTTTTTTAGGCAATGGATTTATTTAATTTATCTGATAATTATGATAATAATATACAATTAGCATTAAAACAAATTAAATGTCCAATATTAATATTAGGTGCACGTACAGATATTTTATTTCCAATATGGCAACAAAAGCAATTAGCAGAAGGATTAATAGAAGCAGGTAGGCGTAGAAAAAAACGATATTTAGAATAGGAACGGCAAAATTGTTGTAGTTTGAGTAATACTTTTCTAAAACAATATCGGAAATCGTTGATAAAAGAGCAGCGATAAAAGGTTTTCGTTTAGCGAAAGCAATCAAATATACGTGTTTTCTCTACAATAAAGTTTCTTTCTGATTCTCTTACCTTCAATAATCTTTAAATTGAATGCAATAGCACATAACTAACGTTTATATACGGAAGACAAAAAGAAAAAAGCAGAAATATATGGGCACGAAAGAAACTTTTTTATGAGTCAAATCGAATAAAGAGAGCGCCTAATTTCAAATAAAAACTATGTTATACTATTCTCGATTTCAACTTCTGCTGCCAGATTCGGCTTGAAATTCTTGAAGTTACTGATTGTTTTGTGATATTTTTGAACCAAACAAATCTTGTCGTCGCAAATACGTGTTTGTGATGGTCGACTAAGTCTGATTCGAAAATTCTTTTTATTTTAACTCTAATTTCATAAATCTAACGATAGAAGGAGTATGTACAACATGCTATTCAGAAGAGAATTTTATGAATCTTAGAGCAACTCACGATTTTCTGTTTATTTTCTTCTCTCTTTCAAATTTATTTTTAAAAGGTAATCAAAATGTAACATTTTATGAATTAAATAGTATTTATGGACATGATACATTTTTACTCGATGTTAATGGTGTTAGTACAGCAATGAAAGTATGTGTTATATACTCATTTAAATACACATCTTTGTCTTTTACTATAACTATACCTTCCTTCTTTTGTTTACTGCAGGGATTTTTCGATGTAGTGCAATTATATGTGGAAGATGATGATGAATGAAGAATAAATACATTTTTTTTTGTGATATACAACTAATTTTGTTTAATTTTGAAAAAAGAATTAATTTGTTAGATAATAAATATCAATCTTTTTATAAAAGACGAATTTTTTTTTACAAACTTCTTTTACAAACTTTAGCGCAAATTCATCAAAAAAATTGATCTGCAACATTTCAAGACTTATAAACAATTGTTTCTGATAGACTAACTGACGGTTGAGCATCACCATGACATGTCGCATACATCACTATTCAGCTCACCGGATGGGGGCGCAAGAGTCGTGCTGTTCACGACATTACTTTTGAACATTCTGCTCTAGAAATGCTAGTGTATAGCTCCTTCTTCCATGAAAATGACCGCGTTTTTGATCAAAAAGGTCGACGCTGAGAACATTTCTCCAAAATATAACTTCATGATGAAAGCTTTTATGCCGATACGACTGTCAAATAAAGAAAATCCTTCGATCATAGTATTGTAACCTGGTGTGAATGAAGCGCGGAAAGCATGAATCTCCATCTTAAGATTTAGACAACTATCATTATTCCAGAGCATCATAAGTTGCACTTCTGGGTGAGAAGTTCAACTTCTTGATCGAAATTGATTTTCATAAAAAAATCGTTTACTATTTAAAACTTTGTTGAAGAATGCTTTCGTTATTTCAATGACATCACAGTTTTGGGATTTACATGTGTTATCTTACGGTTTCTTCTTTACATGCTTCCTTCATGCTTTATCTATACAGCCTTTACGGCATGGGTTTCGATTTCACGGTTTCTTTCTCGCCTTGTAGGTTCTCTTTAAAAGTGATTTATTTGGGGGAAAAAAATACACATATTTTTTCAAGAGCACCAAAAACGTTCGAATGGCTTTGAGTCGTGCCTAAAAAGGTGAAATTGACCTTAGAAAAAGTCTAATTTAAAACTCTAATCGAAAAAATTTTTTTTCTCCAAAGTCGGACTTTGGGCATCTCATTAACGTTTTCCCAAGTTAAATTTTAATGCCATTTTGTAGAAAACGAATTCTCTTGAAAATGAGCTAACTATTTTTGATTGAAATAAAGCATCAGAAATATAGACTCAATGCCACTATAATTATGGCGAGTACGTGGAAGTGACAGGTTTTTGTCAAAACTTATGTTGTTGATGTCGGAAATAAATATTTTGATGGAATATCGTTATGGATTAATTGTGCAGAGGAAAAGGGTGATATCTGACAAATTTTCCAGAGATCTTTCAAAAGCAATTCTCTGTCTCCGTCATTTTCGATTTATAAGCTCCAAAAACTTGAATTTCTAGGTAATTTTGAAGGGTATACCGAAAAAAGTTAAAAAGAAAAATATTAAACGACTAATATTAAAAATCAATTAAACTTTTTTCTATCTGAACTAATAAATATTTTTCTTATTAAGATAGAAAAATATTAAATTGTTTTATTCAGATAGAAAAATATTTAAACAATGCACAAAAGTCAGGTTTCGCATATTTGTACCTTCTTGGTAGGCTCAAATTGTGACATCAGTTCCATCATTTAGAATGAGATAAACGAGATAGAAAAATTCTTTAATTTTTTTTTGTTTTTGAAAGTTCAGTGAGGTCGAGCCCACCCTAGTCTAAATTTCTGGCGTCGCCGCTACTATAGACCCATTTTGAATACTCTATCTGATGAAGATATAAGACACGTAAGTCAGTTTTGGACTAGATAACGCCATTTCTGAACATACTCAATATTAGTGGGGACGTTCTCTTAATTTTAGCCAACTCTGAGTCTCCCCTTCCGATCTCTTGTACCCGTAGGTCCTTGGGCTTAATTCTTTGAACGAATCTAAATGAAATTTTGCTGTTACATTGTCCAAATTATTTGATTAAACATATGGTATGACCTTTCGAAGAAAGTAATTAAGTGATTTTTCTTCCTCTCAATCAATGACCTACAACAACTTCTTTTGCTATTAAATCAGTTGCACATATTTGTGTAACGCAATTTTCGCTCGGTGAAACAGAATCCCAAATCTGCAAAATTCGAAATAAATGCTGCAAATGAATCACATACCAAGTGTGCTGTTGATCTTAATAAATCACTTACATAAAAAGGTAAATTAAATAATTCATTGTTCTGATCTGTAATCGTTTGTTATGACCCTATTTTATTTTGTACAATGTGTTTTGGTTGAGTTGCCATAATTTTAATTTCGTTTGGATTTAACGAAAAGTTTTTCCAATATTTATGAGCAACTGAGGATTTTTGACGAGATTTCTGAAAAACCGTCACAAGAAAAACCATCTGGTCAAAGTTAATACCTTGCGCGTTTTGTAGCACTAGTCGAGTAGTGTGCGGGCTAACAAGACCTCGAAGAACTGATGTGTAGTTTTCGAGGGAGGAGGCCAGGACGGGCCAAAGTAGGTATCAGGGTTACACTTACTATGAAGAAGTAAAAAGTGCTAGAGACTTCATTGTTGCGTCATACGAACAAACCTGGAAGCAGCTTTCATTTGAATATAAATAAAGTTAAGTTTTGTTAGATTTTGAGCTTGTCCAAGATGCTATAAAACAAGTGATATCTGCTAATGCAGATAAGGTCATCCAATCAAAAATTCTTTCCGAGTATCAGAAGAGAAAATCTCATTTGGAGATAGAAATATGTAACTTTCTATGCTTTTTCCAGCTAGTAGTATGAGAACGCTTGGTAGTTGTCCACATAACATGATGCACTTGTTAACGACGTACACGACGTAGATGAACTTGAGCTCAAACTGATCCGTCCGATGAGGATAAGGACGATGTAGTTGAAACCGGTTTAGCTTTCTTCTTTTTTGATGTCTTTTTCGCTGTTCTTGTTGATTGTGATCGTTTTGTACCTTTTTTGTTCGGTGAATGATCACGTCTAGATGGTTGTTTTTTTTATGAACTTTGTTCTAACCTTAGTTGTCTTACTTATTTTGTTCTTTTTTATTACTCTTTTTGTGTTGTTTGGCTTGAGTCATTTATTACAGGTCAGTGACCTTTGATGACTCTCACTTTTCGTGAATAAAACAGTCTTAGTCTTAGTCCGTTTCCTCGTCATTCGACTTGTCAGAGCAGTTCAACCCGGAAGCGTTATCATCATCGGACGTCTCCGATAGCTTTACATCCGTAGCATCATCTGTGCTATCATTATTATTATGCTGATGATCTATAGCATCTTCATTATTATTTTGCAGCTTATCTTTATTCCCGTCTCGTTCATTATCGTTTTGATATTGATTTTGATGAGTAGTATCATCATTTTGAATAGCATTTGTATTTAGAACAGTACCTGCCATGATATGCTTTTATAGAGATAATTAAAAATGAGAGTGAAGTAAATGAAGGAATGACTGAGATTTTTTCTTTGAAGAGCTTGGCGCAAGAAGCAAAAGAATGAAATACCTATTAAGCTTGTAGTTACCGCAACTGAAGTTACGAAATCCAATTAAATATCTTCATGGCGCGCCATTTTAAACTTCTATATCCAAAGTTTGTTGTTACAAGCACCCTACATGAACAACAATAGCGGCAAGCCTTGCCGCTAACAAAGAAAAATACATCCATGATGGATTAGATGTATTCTTCCTTGTTTGTTGTTCTTAATCTTTAATAAAATAAAATTCGTGATAAAATACTCCAGCACATATTTCAGATGGTTTTGAGAAGGAATGTGAGAGGTCGACACTTAGGACTGTATGTTAGTTTGATGTTGACTCCAGCGATCCTGTTTTGAAAAGATAGAATTGGATAAAATTAATAACAAATATTCTTGCTTCAACGTGTATTGAAGTGATGATAGAAATTAAACTGTATTGCCGTGGTCTATTTCTCTAAGTACGAAAGATAAGTTAGATGAGTTTATTCTTTAAGCACTTAATACCGGTCTATCGTCTTATATCTGCTAAAAACAACCTTTGCTGCCCGGAAAAGTTGTGAAGCTTTTTGCTATTAAATGTCATGTTTCAAGTAGAAACGTTGACAGCGAAGAGGTCCATTTAATTGTTCTTGACTTCATTCTCTTAGACGACCTATAACCCTCGAAAGCTGCCAATTCTTCTTTTATCTGTTCCAAACAACATTTTCATGTCAATAAGCGATGTTTTATTTAATATAAAATACGTCGGATTTTAATGCACTAAGCTATAAATACAATTAAGTATGCTGAGTTTTTTCAAGTAATACAGTAGAGAATAGGGCAGACTATATCATTTCTTAGTAAAAAGGTACCCATGTGGTGAAAATCGCCAAAGTTTTGTCGATTAATCCTAAAAACTCACGATCAATTTGCCGGTTTTTTACAACATAGATATGTACAAAGTAAATGGATTTAGAGCGATTAATTTTAGATCGTAATGCAAATTTTCACGCAACATATATATTTAAAAATTCTGTTTTAGATATTTGACTTGATTTTTATGATTATAACGAATAATGATTAGAAAAAGCTGTGCCAATTCCTGACAATACTAGATTTTCTCTATTTCTTTATTTTCTCTTTAAAAACTTTTGTATGTGTGTGTGTATGTTGGAATGAATTCATTTTATTCGTCGTCATCATCTCAAAATATGTTTATGAAAAAAATTCGTGTATGGAAACGTCAATATTTACATATTGTTATATTTGTTAGTCTATTTTGGATTTGTATTGATGTATTTATTATTATGTTATTTACCGATTGTGCAAAAACTATTGAACTTCCATGTTCACCAATGAAAATTGACGAAGGTGAAGTTATCAAAGATCCAACATATCAAAGACATCCAAGATTTATTCATCCTTCAAATAATAAAAATGAATCACAAAAAACACAAGGTCTTTATTTCGGACAAAAACAATATAATCAAACAAAAGCGAAAAAAGATTTGGGATTTTTTGCAAAATTATTTGGATACGATGCAAGTAAGATATGTCTGTTCTACACACAAAAACAATTGTAATACGTTGATTTTTTTCTTTTTGGTGCAACAAATCCATCTTCTTGGCATGGTGAAGGTGGTCGTGCTGTTGTTATTCCATCAGAACTGAAAGACGAAGCTAAAAAACGTTTCAAAGAGAATCAATTTAATATCGTAGCATCCGATTTAATTGCGTTAAATCGTTCGATTAATGATCAAAGATCAGCAAAGTTTGTTTTGTCTTCTACTAGAGTAAAATATGTTTTTTTTTCTTTTGATTTATTTTTTCTCATTCTAGATGTCGTGCACATGAATTTCCATCAGATCTTCCCACAACTAGTATCGTTATCGTATTTCATAATGAAGGAAATTCAACTCTTTTGAGAACACTAACAAGTATTGTTATTAGAAGTCCAATACAGTTTATACATGAATTGATATTAGTTGATGATGCAAGTATCGATAGAGGTAATGAATATCAACTTAGACATTGACATACAGTGGATGGAATTAAGAATATCTCATCTTACGGCTACCGTTACCTGACAAGTCTTAGTTTCACTTCGGTATTCATTTCTGAGTCAGTCAGACATAAGTAACTTAGTCAAGTTTATTACGGTGCTTAGATTCGAACACAGCACCCTTACACATACCGTATAATTATGTTTATGATTTTAAATTTTTAGAATATTTGAAGGAAACGTTACAAGATTTCATAAAACTATTGCCTGTTCAAGTGCATCTACTGCGAAATGATAAACGATTAGGTTTAATGAAATCAAGATTGAAAGGTATATTGTTACATTGTAATTATGTAGTTTAATGTGTTGTGAACTTATAATTTAGGTGCTGAAATTGCTACTGGTGATACGTTAACATTTCTTGATGCACATATTGAAGCATCACCAGGCTGGTTAGAATATTTACTGTATGAAGTTAAAAAAGACAGGCGAGTATATATAAAACTATAAAATTATTAAAACTGACAATGTTTTTTGTTGTTTTTTTGTAGGACAGCTGTTGTTTGTCCAATAATTGATGTTATTAATGATGATGATTTTGCTTATTTAACTGGTTCGGATATGACATGGGGTGGATTTAATTGGAGATTAAATTTTCGATGGTATCCTGTACCGCAACGAGAAGAACTTAGACGAAATCATGATCATTCATTACCATTATTATCTCCTACAATGGCTGGTGGTTTGTTTACAATTAATCGTGAATATTTTTATGAGATTGGTGCTTATGATCCAGGCATGGAAGTAAGAAAAACCAGTACGAATCAACGTATTTCCTATATCATGCGTATTGTATTGTCTTAGGTATGGGGAGGAGAAAATTTAGAAATGTCATTTCGAGTATGTAACTATTAATCGATAACTAATTTGGTAACTTGTGATTTTAAAAAAACTTACGATAATCTTTTTTTTCAGGTGTGGATGTGTGGAGGAAAAGTTATGATTCATCCTTGTTCTCATGTTGGGCATGTATTTCGTAAACAAACTCCTTACACATTTCCTGGTGGTACAGGTACTGTGATATTTCATAACAATAAACGATTAGTCGAAGTTTGGTTAGATAAATATAAAGATTTTGTCTATTCAATTATGCCAGGTAATGTATTATTTTATATGTTGCTACATATTCTCACATGATAACTTCTTTTTCCTTCAGAATTACGAAATGTCAATGGTGGAGATGTCACCGAACGTTTAGAATTACGCGAAAAATTAAAATGTAAAGATTTTCGATGGTATTTAGAAAATATCTATCCAGAATCATCAATGCCCGTGGATTTTCATCACGTTGGAGCGGTAATTAAGTTTAACATTAACAAGTTGCATTGGAAAAAAATAAAAAAACCTTTGCTCTCTCTCGCTCTTTCTCCCTCTCTCTCTCTCTCTTAGTTTTCATTGGTTCAATTTGAACTTACGAAAACAGCGACTAAGTTTTTATTTCGAAGCTCTAGTCCATTTTGTTTGATATCAATACTATTGTAGTTACGTAACGAAGCCTACGGTTGTTTGGATAGTCTCGGTTACGATTCAGAAAACGGTGTGAATCAAAATGCCGGTCTTTTTCCTTGTCACAATCAAGGAGGAAATCAGGTTTGTGTTGTTTATTTGTTATTTCTTTTTTTTCTTTTTTCTCTAAATTAGATACGAAGTCAGGAACGATCATCTTGTTTGACTTTTCGTAATACATATGTTGGTAAAAAACAAAATAGTACATTGTTTATTTCACCATGTGCTGGGAATAAAAGAAAAAATGCTGCTAAATTAGCCGTTCATCAGGTAGAAGCAAGCGAAAATAAAAAATCAATAGAAAAGTCTGAAATTTGTTGCTGTCGTTTTTGTTGCGGATGAGAAACAGTGTTTGCATGATGCATGAAAAATGACTCAAAATATAAATAACGATTATAATTATCAAATTGCATGTATAAAAGATTTATTATCCTAATACATGATTGAATTAATAAACAATTCTTGTTATATGAATATTTTTTTTAATTTGAAATTTTTTTAATCTCTCAAATATTATTGCATGAAAGTACGAAAAAAAGATAAATATTTTTCATCTACATTAGAATGTTCATTACACTTTATTTTAAGAATTTTTAGAGCAATTAGTGTTTTAACAAAAAAGCTAAAGAAAAAATACTATTCAGTTATTTTTGTTCGACATTAATTTCTTGATTAAAAGATATTTGACAATTATGATTTGTTAAGCATGTAAAGCAATGTGTATTACCATATAGTCATTCAGGATGTGTCGTTTATATATATATTTTAGTTTTGAATTAATTTTTATTTCTTTTTTTATTTCTACTACAGATAATTGTTTATTCTCGAAATGGTGAATTAAAATTTGATGATTTATGCTTGGAAGGATCAAAAAATGATATTGTTAAAGTACAAAAATGTCAACATCAAAGTCAAAAACAAATATGGGAGTATAATCAAGTGGTAAGAACTATATTGAAAAGTTTAATCTCGCTGTTCTATACTCTTCTGTTTTTTTCAGACAAAGCAAATGAAACATTTAAATACTGGTCAATGTATGACAGTGGATCAAAATCGAGATAATGGAAAAGTACATTTAGGTACGTTTCTCATTTTTGGGATAAAATGATGTACGCACTAACTAACATTGCTTACAATTCTTTTTTTTAAATATCTAGCTGTTTGTCAATCACTCGATATTAAACAACGTTGGATATTGGAACAAAAAATGAAATTATAGTACAAAATTTTCTTCAAGTAATTTTTGAGAATAATTATGTGATTCTGATAATATTTTTTTGTACATGCATTATCAGAGCATTTTCCTCTACTAGTAATTGATTTCTCTCTAATTTATTAGTTAATCCACCGCAGTATCTAATCTTCCATACAAATGTAGTATAATTCTTTTTTATTGTCAATTTTAAGTTATTTTTTATCGATTGATTGTTTATTTTGTCATGCTTTATCTGTCGTTCTCCTCTGTTTTACAACATAATGCAGTATATTGAACGGTTTGTGCCATTTCTATTTTTATGTCTTATGTTTTTTATCTCGATGGCCCATTTCAATCGTCAACAAGAGAATACACGCATATTATTATATTATTTCTAGTCTTTTTGACTCTAATATGCTTTATAATAAATCTTCTTTGGTTTTTTTTCCTTTGAGCGTGTGCTCCGCCTTTTTATTTTTAATATTTCGAAATAGAAAAGCTCTATACCGTTACTTTTATTTCGACAAACTGTTTTTTTTTGTTCTGATAAATTCAAAATTTCACTTATATGATTTTATTTCTATACAAAAGAAATCATTGTTTTTCTTGTGAGATTACTGGGATATGTTGACAAGCATTTTCCTACGTGAACACACAACGATACTTTCATGCAATTAGTTTATTCATAAAACTAGTTGCTTTTCCTTTGACGAAAAATGCTAGAACAATCCATAGTTCTTGTTATTTTTTCGTTATGTTCCGTTGTACCAAGGCTTTGCCAGGATGGAAGCGTATTAAAAATTGATCTCAGGCATCAGTCTATTACAAAAAAAAAAAGTATCGATCGCGTTTTTTCTTGTACTGCGATCTGAATGAGCTTAAATGAATTTAAAATGTGTTTGTTTTTTGTTTTTTATAATAATATATATATATATGTAATACTATTTTTCCGCTAAGCAATATGAAAAAGGAAGTTTTTTGTTTTATTGTTTTTTTGTTGTTATTGCTTTCTTTTTTCTTTGTTTGTTATTTTAAGTTGCAATATATAATACAAAACGAAGCACAAACCGTAAATGATTTCAAAAAAATACTAAATATATTCGTACTGAGAAATACGATAATTTTTCTTTAAGGAAGGGAGAGGGAGGGGACGGTGTTCTCTCTCTAAACATTGTCTCAAACTTGACCGGTTGGTAGAGAAGACCTTCAATTGTATGCCTATACAATAAAATAAAATATGATCAAGTATTCACAGTGTTACTAATTAATTAAATTCAAAATTAATTAGTATTTTTAGCTTGAGAGATTCTTGTGTTCAACATAAGAAGATGTTACATTTAGTTTATTATAATGTAGTTCTATACAGAATTGTGCTGCAGATAAAATTCAGTGCAAAAAAAGTTTAAAAATGATATCTCTGAGCACCCTTAAATACTAATTAGTTCTAGTTAGCACTACTTAGTGGCACTCCAATACACAAAGTAAATTTTTCTAATGTCAGAAGAAATGGAAGAAAATCATACACTATATCATGTATGATGTACTTGTTTTTATTGTTGCCATTTTTGTCTAAAAAATCTGTTTTAAACCACGCTAGATGTACAAAATTGAGTATTTCTCCATTCATTAGTGAGAGATTCAGTAATGAAGACTGAAAAAACGTGCATCAAGGGTTTTTATTTTCGGATAAATGTTGTCACGATGTCACTTTGTTTGTCACATGCTATCTTGATTAGTAGTTAGCACTTAGTTAGCGGAAAAAAATCATCTGTCGTTCTTTTGTAATCATTTAGATTTTCTGAGTAGGGGATGCTGCTTTACTTTTACTAATTATTATATTATGGGGTAAAAGTAATAAGCCTTTGTTGCTTATTACCGATAAAAAGGTAGTAGATCTTGTTATTTTATTACTTATTACTTTTTCACGTAATTATTTTTTATTATTTTACTTACTACTTTTTATTATTTTTTCTTGTATTAGGAATAAGTAAAGCAATAAAAGATTATTACTTAAAAAAAGTAGTAAGTAATAAAGTAATATGATTTATTACTTGTTTCCTGATAATAACTAATAAGTTTTATTACTTATCACTTGATAAAGAAGAGTAAAGTGACATCTCTATTGTTTTGTGATAAAAAGAAGGCTATATTTTTGTTTACCATGCTTTACTCGATTATAGAGCTAGAATTATATAATAGATCTATAAAATGTATGTTAGATGAAGGTTTTTCACCTGGATCTGATAATCATTATGATTCAATGATTCAAAATGTTCTTCATTGAAAAATTATAATCTTTCAACAGCAGAATTCAAACGTCAGCGTCGATATTCAAGCACAGAAGAATTTACATCAACTTCAAGAAATCCTTTAAAATCCTCGTCAGAAAACCGTTCATATTCGGCATCAGATTCACAGAGCACACGTTCTGTGATTTTCAATATCGATCACGTTCGGAAATAAAATGATCATCTACGTTGATATGCATTGTGTTTTGAACGTTTTCAAAATAATAATTCTTTTATGTAAAATGAGTGAAGTGTTGATATAAGTTGTTCACAGCATTCTGTTTTATTGTTTCTCTTTAGAGTGAAATAGCTACAATACATAGAAAAAAATGCGCAAATAATTGATGTTCGGTATTGAGAGGAACAACTAAATATATTCCATGTTTGTCCAGATGCAAGGTTAAGCTTTATCGCAGATACGTATACTACAGTTGATTTATTTCATCAAAATAGTTTAAAATGTTCATATCTCATAAACGTTCAGATACATCAAATTTTCCATCTAAATATTCAATGGAACTGCCAGTATAATAACCAAATGTACGTTTATATGCTGTATCTTATACAGCTGGTATCGGTTCGGAATCAATCAGTACTATCATGTCATCATTGAGCTTATCAATAACAAAAAAAAAACATTTTATAGAACATACACATAAAATATATTCTAATTTACATGAATTTGCACAAAAACAATTTCAGTTATTAATCAACAATATTAAACATTCACGATTTAGATTCAGTTTTGAATGGTTATGTTCTAATTGATGGTACATAGAAATATCGTAGCCATATATAGAATTATGGGATTGTTTTTTTTATACATGTAGAAACTGGCTATTGAATTAATTATGGAGTTGTGAAACATGTGATATAAAAAAGAGACTTCTGACTAGTAGACAATCTGAATCATGATTTCAATCTTATTAATTAAATTGTTGAATTATACCGGTACATAAAAAAGCATGGAAATCGAAGATGTCTTAAGAATTTATCAACGTTCAGTCAGTGAAGACTTACGTTATAAATGGTTAGTTAGTGATGACGATTCATCTGCATATGATAAAGTAAAAAACATTAATATTGAGCAAGAAGTAGCTGATGAACGAGATGACAAAGACAATAATGATAAACAAAAAAATTATAATAATAGCCAAGAGGATAATTCATTGAAGGTTTTAAGAGTAAATTATATTAAGCGTGTAAAAAAACGTGTTATTAGTAGATTAAACGATATAAAATCAAGAAATAATAGTTTTCAAGACTTGTTACAAGATGTAGCATCAATATCAACATCAGCATCAGCAGTCTGTAATCAATAAAAGTGAAAATAGATCAATCATCATGTACAACAGCCAAAGCACAATAACCAACAGCAACAGTTAAACTGAAGAAAACACTAGTTGACAGAAAACCGTTTGGCGAGGGATGTGTAACTGATCCCAAGCATCAAAAAATTATCTAGTATCGCCCGATTCATCCAGATTACTAGATTATTACCCGATTGTAATTATTTGGTAACGACAGTGGGAATCTAGTAATCGGGCGATTGCTAGATTTCTCCTCAGTTGCAACTATTGACTTATTGTCCGATAATCGATCGATTTAAATATTGCCAGTTGCACATGCAGACGCATCTAGTTAAAAGTCCCTTTTCCAACTAGTAATCTAGATGGCAACTAGTCGTGCATCGCCCGATTATAGACGAAATGTATCTAGGTTTTTTCCATGGGTGATTTTTGCTTGCGATGGCACAAAATATCGGAAATGTATGGTCTACGTGATACGTTAACAGAGTGTTGAAAGACAAGAATAATAATGAGTATAAAATAAGAAACAGTACAGGAAAATTTTTTTGTGCGTTATGTTTTTATTTTGAGCAAAAGATCGAGATAAAGTCATTGCTATACTACAGAAGAAATGTTTAGCAGCTTTTCATCATCTTATTGTCCAGGAAAACAAAGAAAACCAACATTATTATTGTTCACATGGTATAACAACATTATGTATTTATGAATGTGATCAAGCCACGAATGGAAATGAGGATGAAGTAAAATCGTCTTCCTGTATTTCCTGACTTATTACTTTTAACATAAAAGAATTATTATTCAAATGTTTACTTGGTCCTACACAGAATTTAAACGAGTGTTTAAAGTCGGTAGTGTGATCTATATTATCTAAATTCAAAAATCATAGATCCGAACTACAAATGACACATCTGAATATTTATCAAATTATTAATAAATGAATATGAGTTTTCCGCTAACCACTAATCAAGATAGCATGCGACAAACAAGGTGACATCGTGACAACATTTATCCGAAAATAAAAACCCTTGATGCACGTTTTTTCAGTCTTCATTACTGAATCTCTCACTAATGAATGGAGAAATACTCAATTTTGTACATCTAGCGTGGTTTAAAACAGATTTTTTAGACAAAAATGGCAACAATAAAAACAAGTACATCATACATGATATAGTGTATGATTTTCTTCCATTTCTTCTGACATTAGAAAAATTTACTTTGTGTATTGGAGTGCCACTAAGTAGTGCTAACTAGAACTAATTAGTATTTAAGGGTGCTCAGAGATATCATTTTTAAACTTTTTTTGCACTGAATTTTATCTGCAGCACAATTCTGTATAGAACTACATTATAATAAACTAAATGTAACATCTTCTTATGTTGAACACAAGAATCTCTCAAGCTAAAAATACTAATTAATTTTGAATTTAATTAATTAGTAACACTGTGAATACTTGATCATATTTTATTTTATTGTATAGGCATACCATTGAAGATCTTTTCTACAAACACCGAAATTTATACATACGTCAAAGTCTCGTCGAAAAATATATACTTTATCGACAAAACCAACGTTTTATTTCTCAGTCGTAATTAGTTCTGACAGCTTAAGGTATACAGTTCAGAGAAAATTGTCAAAATCTCTACTACTTTTGCTTTAGTAGATGTCGTTCGTAGATTACTCGATTGAAACAGTGGCATCTATTTAAGAAATTATAACTATGTCGTAAGTCGATGATCGTTTCTCCTAAAGGATACGATAAAACAAGTGTATAAGCCGATAATTAGTTTAAGTTGAGTCGAGATGATTAAAAATTTTTGAAAATTTTAGTGGTGGTCCTTGGCAACTGAAGGTTAAAGGCTTGGGCATGAACTAAGACAAATAGGAAACTAGTGCTCGGTATTTAGCTGTGAAGGTTTCCATGGGTCTGCCTTTTAGCGAAAATCATTCTATGATAAATCAAAGTCTAAAACTTATATTCGATCTGCAGATTATTTTTCATATTGACCTGGCATAACAACCCCACCAGAAAACATTAGTGCTCATGACATGCCATTAATTATTGGCGCTTATTAGCATCGGTGCACAACCGTGCTCAACAAGCGCCGAATCACAGGTGATATATTTACAGTAAAAAAGTGCAGCCCTGATTCGAAGCAGTCTCCATTGAAATTTATCTAGTCAGTACCTAGTTTCTGTTATAGTTGCTTTAACTCAGACTATGGTACCGATAAGTATCAGTACCGCATTGTCATGTCATGAGCCTTCGACACAGTCTCAGCAGGAAAAAGGTGAAACCGAAAAGACATTTGAAATATTACCAGTATATTGTAGTATCTTTATGTAGACAGACATTGACAAAACGAAACGATGATTGAAAAGTAGATTTGACCAATTTTCTTTGGTTATTTTTAATCGCTACTTTTTTGCCAATAGTACTCGAAAAGACTATCATTCTGCACTGATTCATAGCACTACCGTATAAGTGCCGATAAAAGAAAGGCAGAAAGTTCTTCGTACGCGTTGCAAAATAGTCTGCTTGAACCTCGCTATAATAGAAAGAGTTTCTACCTTTGTCAAAGTAGCTACTCCTTGATCTTCGAATAGGTATTAAACAACTATTTCGTTCTTACTGAAGACTCCATCTTCTATCGATCTAAAATGTTATATCGTTACTCTTGTTTTGTAGACGATGGATATTCAATACGTATACACTAAAAAACGCTCAGAATTTGGCCGTCAGGTTCATTTCACCGATCGCCCTGTTGAAATAATCGCCGATATTCAACCAAATCCTGAACTGTTGAAAGATTACGTTGCCCGAGATCCAGTTGAAATTGGAATACAAAATGTTCGAGAATTTTCGGAACATTGGGTAAGAGACGAAAACGTTTAACCTTTTCACCATCATTCAAATATGTTTATTTTTTTTGTAGGTAAATACAAATCGTTTTGAAACAGAAAATAAAGGCGTTAATCACGTTGAAGGTGGTTGGCCAAAAGATGTGAATCCACTTGAACCTGACCAAACATCACGATTTCGAAAAAAAACAGAGAAAGAAGACGGTTATAGCAGAGCGATATTAACACTTGGACAAGTATATTTATTTTGCAATTTAAATCGTAAAATTCTAAGTGTCTATTTTTCGTTTCAGTCAATTGAGCATACAATAAAACAAAATAACGCAATTGATATTTATGAAAATTATTTTCAAAATCTTGAACCCGACGTTGTAGAAGAAGCACCATACGCAAAAACAATCAATATTTATCGGTAAAGAGCTATGAGCTGGATGTTTTTTGTGTACTTATTCTAGTATTGTAATGTGAGTTAGAGAAAGGTTATGAGATTGTTGATTCGGGGTTTACATTCGCTAGACTTAGTTTTAAACGTCAGAGACAAACCGTGGAACTGCTTTTAGTGATCCACATTCAGTCAAACGTACAGCAAATCATATTAGTTGGTTTACAGATGGAGCAAGAAAAATAGCTGTGTCGTATTGTAATCTTGAATTTCAACCATTGACGGGCGATTCTTATATCGATTCTTACATTTGGGATATTGGTAAGTATCCTGGTTCTTTCTACTAATGTTGCATGAGAGTTACATGCCATAATACGATCTTGAATAAATCATAAATACGTAGATAAATTAAATATTTTCTATTTTGTCATTCAGTTAAATTTTCTATTTTCATTTTTTATTAATTCTAGAAAACCCTACAAAACCAGATTTATTTTTGAAACCTATATCTCCACTTGTTTGTGTCGAATTTAATCCAAAAGATACTCATCAACTTGTTGGTGGATGTTATAACGGACAAGTTTGTAAGTATCGATAGTCAAATAAAGTGCATAAAATTTGATATTTTATCTTCATTGTAGGTATATTTGATACAAGGAAAGGGAGTACAGCCGTTGAACAATCGTTAATTGAAAATAGTCATCGTGATCCAGCTTATAAAACAATTTGGTTACAATCAAAATCTGGTACTGAATTCTTTTCCGGTTCAACAGATGGAAAAGTGGGTGCGCAAAATTTCTTGTTTATGATAATAATAGTATTGATCTCATAATATTTCAGATATTATGGTGGGATACAAAAAAGTTAACTGAACCGGTGGAAACACTTGTGTTAGATATCGAAAAAAAAGGTCGTCTTGAAAGTGCGCTTGGAGCAATGTCACTTGAATATGAGCCAACAATTGTAAGAAATGTTTATTTTGTACAATTTTAGCCTATCGAGATTAAATTATTTGCATTATTCTAGCCAACAAAATTTATGGTCGGTACTGAACAAGGCCGAATTATTAGTTGTAATCGTAAAGGAAAGAATGACGCAGAAAAAATTGGCAATGTTTTTCCGGGTCATTGGGGACCCGTTTACGCCTTACAAAGACATCCTAATTTTACAAAGAACTTTCTCTCAGTCGGTGACTGGACAGCAAGAATTTGGTCAGAAGAGATACGTGATGACTGCATCATGTGGACAAAGTAAATATGACTCGAAAATTGATTTTCAGTAAACTAAATAATATTTTTTCTCATTTTAGACCCAGTATGTACGCTTTGACAGATGCGCAATGGTCACCAACACGCTCAGCCGTCTTTTTTACCACAAAAATGGATGGTAGGTGGCATCTGGTTTTGATGTTTTTCTAAATTGAATCTGTTTCTCTGACTTAAAGGTACTGTTGATGTATGGGATATTTTATTTAAACAAAATGAACCCACTTTATCTATACAGGTGAGTATCATCTTCTTGTAAAAACTTGAACTAGCCATCTTATACTGTTCAGGTTGTTGATGAACCACTACATTGTTTACGTGCACAAGAACCTCAAGGGCGGCTTATTGCATGTGGTTCTCAAAATGGAACAGTAACGCTCCTTGAAGTATCCGATAATTTGTGTATACAAGGAAGAAATGAGAAAGCACTCGTCACTGGAGTAAGTTTCATAAAATTTCATATACAATTTTCGCAAAAACGAGTTATGAACAATATTTTAGATGTTTGATCGTGAAACGCGTCGTGCTAAAATTCTTGAAGCGCGTGGACGTGCAAGACGTGATGCACGAGGAAAATCAGCAGCAGGAGGAGAAGTAGGTGAAATGATAATTTTTCTCATATCTGTATTAATTATGTTTCTGTAAAAATGTGTAGAAAGCCGAAAAACATGAAGGCGGTGAAAGTGAATTAAAAGAAGCGGATCCAATTGAAAAAGCTGAAAAAGATTTCTGGAAAATAATTGAAGAAGAAAAACGAAAACGTGACAGAAAAACAGTGATTGTACGTATAATACGGTGTTGCTGTGTGCTGAAGTTTTGCTGACTTTAATTTTTGTCATCTAGGGTGATGAAACATCGGCAGCTCAAGCAGCCGAAGAAGCCGCAAATGCTCAAACCATTCAAACTTAGAACAGTAATTAATTTTAGTTGTTTTGCTTTTCATCGTTCTTGTATATTTTTTTACTGTTTTTTTTCTGAGAATTTCATATCAGTTGAATACCAGAGTTCACACAGTTTTTTAATACATTTTCCTACAAAAAAAAAAAAAGTTCAATTTTGCGAATGTTTCAAATGTAGAAATGGTATTGTATTGTTCAATTACTCTAAGAAGCAGCAAGAATTCTATTGAATTTTCAACGCAAAAACGTTTTTTATGAAATAACGAGCTGAAGAAGATCTCTCATACTAATGCATATTGAAGATTTTTATGTTTAATAACTTCAATAATCTATCTGAACTAAAAGAATGTCATCTGTTTTACTAGCGAAGAAAGTCACAAACAAATTCAACCTTTTGTTTGATTTCAACAAAAAGTCAGATATATTTAGTCAGCTAAACAACAGTATAACAAAAACGGAGCGTAACGTAGAATATAAAGTTGCACAAACAGTATTGGTTATCAATTATGTATCAGTTACTAAACTTTTAACCAAATGGCTTGATGGCCAAAACAATTTTTAAGAATCTGCATAAGGTCAAGATTTCACATAGATTTCTGGAAAACTGTCTGAACTTGATGTGGTGGCTTTTGTATTAGTCCTAGTTTAGTGGTATTTGAGTTAAGAAATTATTGACAAGTTGACGATATATTTTTGACCACCATTGTATTGCGCTAAACGATTATATATGGTAATTTGGGCACGTTCCACCATTTAAAGACTCGATATGTTTACATGTTCTCACTGTAAGTGATTGAATTCAGAGTTTGAATGTGGGTCTCAGTATTTAACGTACGGTGAAATATGTTTTTGACTTCTCTTTCCTACACTCTTTCGAAAGACCATCATAAAATAGGTGGTGGAGGGCCAAAGTAGGATATATTCTCGATAAAACTTGAGAATTTTCAGATGAAAATACGTAGTTTTCTGTCTTTTCGGGCATTATTAGAACGTTTCAAAGTTTGAATAACTTCATAATTTACGATCGTACAATCCTGAAAAACTTCTTCAATTGCGAGTTATAGACTAGCGGCATAACTTAAACATAGGATAGGTAGATTTGAGGTAATTATCGATGTTTCATGCATTGCACATAATCAAATCCACCCGACTTTCGATCGTGCACAAAATGATTGGAACTGGGTGACAGTCAATTATCGAAAAACACGCATTACTTTAGAAATAAGACGAATAATATTAGTCAGATTCATTTTTAGAATGTTGCGTTTTTGTTTTTGTTATAGTTGACCGTTTTTTTCTAGATACACATAGGTTTATTGATTCAGTTACTGACTGTAATGCAAGATGTATAGAAAAACGGTTTTGCAAGTGAATGAGAATTGAAGGTTTATTTACAAAAAAAGTAATCAAATAACATGAAAAATATTGATAAAAACGGAAAATAAATTTTCCTGGTTATATTCAATTTTTTTACAGGAAACAAATACACGATCGTCTACAATATTTAACCAATGACGGATTAGCTGTACAATTACTTGGCGAACATTGTCCATCTGTATAAAAGTTTTCACAACCTGAAACGAATGTACTGTTCATAGCATTTATTTATAAAATAGTCGAGGTACTTACAACTACCGCATGTCGCTGGACATAGTACTCTCACTGGTGTATCTCCAAATACATATTGTTTCTGACAGTATGGACCATAATTCCATACTGCACAAGAAATAGAAATATCATTACATGAATATGGAGCTGATGTAGTATTTTGATTAATTTTGATTGTGGCAGTGGATGGTAACAGAGTTGACGATTGTAGTGCAGTTGTTGTCGTCATGTTAAACATTGATGAATCTGTAGAAAATTACTCTTGAAATAAATTTGTTCAAAAGAAGCGCTAAATCACTCACTCATATTTTTTCTACACAATACACCAGATAAATCGTTACATGATCGAGCATTCCACATCCAGTTATCACTTGTCGTTCTAATTAACTGAACACAGCCGCCAGAACTTGGAGAATCTGGTTTCCATGCGGTATAAATCGGAGATATCTATAAAGCACGCATTCATAAAGATAAAATTTGAAGTTATTAGTTATTCATACTTGAAAGATGTCCCAAATAAATTGTCCTTCAATAACACTGGTAAGACCAATCCAGTATGAACTTCCATTGTTATGTAAAGAATTTACTATATCTAAACATGGTTATAGCCGTGTAAAAAATCGGATTTTTTTACTTAAGAACACTTACTTTGCACCGTTGCATGTTCCAAAGCAGTGAAATAATACATTAATTGACCACCTAGATTAGCGCAAATTTGTTTTACTTCTAACCATGTTTTGAATGTAGCGGTCTCCGCATAATAGCATATATCCGACACATAATTCCATGGTGCAGGACATAAGTCTAGAACATTTGACTATCGATGATTACATCACATATTCAAAAAAGATGCTTACTCGTTTCACATATGGTTCCCGTAAACTGTGGTAAACAAGTACAAACAGCTTGTGCCGTGCCTGATATTGTCATACAACTACCTCCATTTAAACATTGATTTGCAGCACATGGATTATCAGCTTGTGATGAACATGTTATGCCTGTTCTATTGAGAGGACACTGACACGATAAAATATTTTGTACTGATAGACAAGTTCCTCCAAATTGACATGGATTTTGCTGATAGCATCTGTTCAAATATTGACATCGATCACCATTGTATTGTGTTAAACAATTACACACCGTATATGTTCCATAATCTTGGCATATTCCACCATTTAAACATACGATATTATTACATGCTCCCACTCGTTGTTCACATCGTTGACCGATATAGGTACTCAAACAAGCACAAACATACGATACACCTACGTTAACACATGTTCCATAATTTAAACATGGATTACTATTACAAGCTGAATTAATCAGTGTTTGACAACGAACACCCGTATATAACGAACCACAGTTACATGAAAACGCTACGCCAGAACGTATACATGTCCCACCGTTGTAACAAGATTGAGCAGAGCATGGATCATTGGAATATTCACAGTATACTCCTTGATACAATGATGAACATTGACAAATGGCATTTGTCCCATTCGAAACGCATGTACCATTATTCTGACAAACATGCAGTGAACATAAATCAATTGGACTTTGACACAGAGTACCAGCCCACTGTTGTGTACAAAAACATTGTGTTGCTGAGTTGACAACTATACATGTGCCATTATTACGACAAACATTAAAGATATTTACTGATGAACAAGGTATTTGTGCTTGAGAAAATTGACAACGCTGACCGGTGTAACCAGAAGGACATGCACAAGTGTAGTAGCACAAGACATGAATGTAGTAGGTACAGGTTGCACCATTTAAACATGGTGATGAAATGCATGGATTATAGTGCTCACAAAGTGTGCCAACAAATTGTTGTGATGCCGGACAGACACATTGTTGTTGCACTTGATTATTTACCACCATTGATGTACACGAGCCACCATTGTAACACATTTGAGAAGAGCATGGATCGGGAAATTGACATCTGTCACCAATATAATTTTGATTACATATACACCGATAACCCGTAGAGAAACCGGTTGTTTGTGAATAAACTAATATACATGTTCCGTAATAACAAGGACTACTTAAACAAGCATTATTGGGACAGGTGCAACTGTAAGTACCGGACATGGTAATGTATGGTTGACACGATTGATTTGGCTGTAATAGACTACTACAAGGGTTCAAATTTTCGCAGTTTGTACCTATGAAATTTGATAAACACGTACATTGATATGCTGAGCCGGTCGGCGTTTGTTGACAAGAACCATTATTGCGGCATGGTATGCTATTACAAGGATTTTGAGTAGGCGCCAATGTGAGTTCACATCGTAAACCATAGTAGCCGGATAAACAATTACAAGTATATCCGTTAGTACCCGACATGACGCATATACCCTGAATACATGGATTACTGCTACAAGCTAACGGCATATCACAATATTGACCTGTCCATCCGCTGTAACATGCACAAGACGCCGATTGATTCGAATAACCGATCTGACAAATTCCATTTTGACATATGGGATTTCGACACGGATTTAAATATTGACATCGATCTCCGTAGAATGTTGTTGGACATGTACACAATATTGATGTTGATGAGATAAGAGTACATGTTCCGCTATTACACGGATTTTGAATTGCACACAAATTAGCCGTTTCACAATTATTTCCTAAGTAATACATAGGGCATAAACATGTATAACCGGTTGATGATGTTGATTGAAGGTTGCATGTACCGCCGTTCAAACAAGGTTGAACACCACAATAGTTTTGTATGTTACAGTTCACGCCGGTGAATTGTGGTGCGCAAATACATTGATACCCACCATTAGCGGTCACTACACATGTGCCACCATTACAGAGTGAACTCACGCATGGGCTGATGAATGTACCACACTGAGGATCAGTGTACGAACTCGAACAAGAACACATGTAGCCATTTGAAAGCGTTATACATGTTCCATTGTTTTGACAAGGAATATACAAACAAGGATCGGCAACAAGAGAACATTGAGTACCTATACGAAAAACTTGTCTGAGTTAGAGGCAAACTCGGAAACTAGCGTTATTTAAGAGTACCCCTCCTCTCCTTTTGGACTTTTGGGTCGAATCTCACTATTCGTAAACTATAAATCTTAATTACTTACGATTTTCAGAGACTACGTAAAACTCTTTTGCGCATCTTCTGAGACCATCGTGAACTCTCCAACTATCTGATTCATGAGTTTGCTAGAAATCATTACTTTTTAATCTGTGCTACTTACGCTCCCCCTCCCACTGGAATTTGATCCGATCGAAAACTTTTAGCGCAAATAACTGATCAGATATCTCAGAGATTAAATTTTTTCCGAAAAATATTGCCTCGTTCAAAAGTAATAGCAAAAAAACTCAAAAATCCTGGACTCTATTCGGTTTTCTGATAAAAGTGTTAAGTGTAGTTAACTGTGCAGATTATATTCAAGCTTGTTAATTTAATTAAAAAACTGTTTGCATACAGTCTGGTTTACAACTAAAATCAAAGAGATTTTTAGAGAATCTGTTGTGACATCTCAAAATGGAATGATACGGTCAACAATAAGTCGGATAAATCATGAATACTCACCTGTAAAATTCGGTAGACATTGACATATATATCCATTTGTACTCATCAGACATGTTCCATTATTCTGACACGGATTTGGTAAACACCAATTAATTGTTTCACAATGAGCACCCGTTAAGCCCATTGGACAAACACATGATAGATTACCATAAACAGTTTCTGTACAGTTACCACCATTCAAACAACTTGTAGGTGTACATGAATTATAAATGAGAGTTTCACATCCATCACCACCAAAACCCGCTTGACAAGCACATCCGAAACCCTGAACGCATGAACCACCGTTGGAACAAACTAATGTAGGACGAGCATTGGTTGGACATCGTGGTTTGGTGATATTGCAAGTTTGTCCTGAAAATAGTGTGAGTTGCAATAGACTTAGAGCAATTAGTTGAGAGATATCATTCTACCTTCATAAAGATTTGTACAATTACAGCTATTTGTAATGCATGTGCCATTATTTTGACAGGGATTTGAGGAACAGAATGATGGTGCCACACAATAATAGGTGCTGTTCGCCGACACTACACATGTTGATAGCGAGGAACAAGGCATAGAAGAACAAGGATTGATAACTTCACATTGAAGACCAGAATACCCAGGTAAACATGCACATATAAATGTTTGACTCGTTATACGCAAACATGTCCCACCATTGCGACAGGTTAAAGTTGTACACGGATTAATGATTTCACAAGATTGACCAGTTCTACCCAATGGACATTGACAAGTAAAATTATTTGCGCTCAGAATTAGACATGTGCCAGAATTACAATTAATAACAGCACATGGATTATAATATGTTTCACAATACCGACCTAGAAAGGCAATGGCAATGCAGAATTTTTCATTTCATTCACGCGCCGATTGATTTTGTATTGCTAAGAACTGCCCGTCATCACAAAAAAAAATATGTTTACAATCTTAAACTTTCGCAATTTATTAGCACACTTCCTCTGTACCGTGGCAAAAACGAAACTGATGGCTTCTGATGTATTAGATCTAATGATTCTTTCTAATAATAAAAAATTGAAAGTTTGATAAGCAAAAAAGATATGTAGAACTGCTGTGTTTTTGAGAAACTATTCAAACAGAAAAACGAGTTGTATACGTTTGATCTGTTGTTGATAGAAGTATCTGTTTTATAGAGAAAATCAAACATACCTGTATAACCTTTTGCACAAATACACATTGGATTATTATTCATATCGAGTCCACATGTTGCTCCATTGAAACAATATGGAGTGGATGTATTACATGGGTTCATTAGACTTTCACAAAATTTTCCCGTTGCCAGCCCACAACATTGACATGTCATTGTGAGCGTTGATCGATCATATAAACATACACCACCATTCAAGCACGGATTTGAGTCACATGGAAGCAATGATATTTCACATCGAACTCCAGTATAACCCTGTTGGCATGCACAAACGACGCCACCACTGATCGTTGACCGACATACTCCACCGTTGACACATGGATATACTGAACACGCACAGTTACATATTTCACATCGATCACCAAAATAATTCGTTGGACAAATGCATCGATACGTTTGATTTGTGGATGGTATACATGTGCCATTTCGAAAACATGGTTGAGAGCTACATGCATTGATGCTCGTGTTACAATTAGCACCGCTGTATCCCGCTGCACATAAACACATGTATCCTTGAGATTGGGACGGTATACATGTGCCATTATTTAAACATGGTTGAATCGTTACTTGACACTGATCTAATGGTTGCTCGCAAAAATCACCGGTTGTTGTAGGACTGCATGCGCATGAAAAACCACGTAAAGATGAACTGTTTGGTCTGCATGTACCACCATTAAAACAGACATTAACCGTGCTTACACACGGATTTATTGTCGTATTAGTGATATTACAATATTGTCCACCAAAGTTTGCTGTGCACAAACATTTAACATTATTTAATACATCATAATAACAAGTGCCGTTATTCGCGCAAGGTGATGGTAAGCAGACAGATAATGTTTGTTCACAACGAGTGCCCGTATACAATTGTGGACAAATACAATAATAACTTATGTCTGTTGGTATTTGACGTTTTTTTCGATTAAATGTTTGTCGCACAGCACATGTAGCTCCGTTGATACACGGTTGACTGTAACAGACATCAGTAAAAAACTCGCATCGGTTACCATTAAACGCCGATGGACATCGACAGATAGACGTTAAACCAGTTATATAACAGGTACCACCATTTAAACAGCTAAAATTACCACATGGTGCTACAGGCGTCTCGCATAATAAACCTAAAGTATACACGAATAGCATAACTGGTTGAATACGTATGATAAAATCGACGATAACTTAATCTATCATTAACGGAGTTTATCACCTTCTCAATTACTTTTGGTCCCACATAGTGATGGAAGATATTCTTATTGTCATCACTTTTCGTATACTGAGTGAAATAAGAATTTAGAAGAATGGGCTATTATATACGCTATTTTTCATACACATGTTCACAAGGTGAAAACTTGGTAGTGTTCGAATTTTGAATAGAAAAAGAATGTGTGTGCTTCTCTTCTCAAAATCCAAAAGATATTGATGATAGGTGGAAATTATTCTCATTAGAATATGCGAATAAAACTTTTGAGAAGACAGTTTTGTATCCTAGCGCATTTCAGCATAACTTTTGAAAAAATGTGGATAGATTTTCATTTGAGAGTGATACTTCGGCAGACCGAAATATTTTTTTGTTGACTACAGTAAGCAGTTTGTTCAAAAATACTAATACTAATAAGAAACATGCAGGAATACTTGATCAAATAGAATATAAATTTGATGCGGAAACAGACATTGGATTGCTCGATCCCTCTTATGTTATCCTAGTCTAGAAAATTGTTTTTTAATCTACATTAAACCAGTTCAATTACCTGTATAAGTTTGTGGACAAATGCACATAAAGCCTGCTGTACCACTAGATGATATACATAATCCATTATTCAAACAAGGATTTCTTGGCTGACACGGATTTGCAACCACTGTACATTGATCTCCAGTAAAACCTGTCGAACATAAACACACTTGTGTTCCATCTTGTCTCAGCGCACAAGTACCATTATTTTGACATAATAACGATGAACATAATTGTGGCGGCACTTCACATCTCATACCCGAGTATCCGTTAGTACAAACACAATTATAGGTGAAGCCAAATGAGAGACAAATGCCATTATTGAGACAAGGTGTGGGGGAACAAGGGTTGATCATTATGTCACAGGCGACACCAGTCCAATTCGCATTACATAAACACACGGGTGCGCCATCCGCTCGTTGTAAACATTGACCGTTTAAACAACGAAAATTAAGACAGGGTGATATATATGTTTGACAATAAACACCGGTATAATTAGCTAAACATTGACAGCTGATGTTAGAGGATCCGGGAGTTGTAAGACACAAACCGCCGTTCATACAAGGGTTAATAAAACAAGGATTAATCAACTGATTACAAAGTGTGCCAGTCCAGGGCGGTGGACATAAACAGCTAATACTGTTCAATGTATTAAAAATACATGTTCCGCCATTTTGACAAATCGTCGAATTACACGGTCCAACAAAGCTTTCACAATGCAAACCCGTATACGATTGTAAACACGTACATGAGTAATTTCCCCCATTTGACAAACATATGCCATTGTTAAGACACACGGGACTACTGCAAGGATCAATACTACTTAAACACTGTGGTCCGGTAAATGATGGAGGACAGTTGCAGCGAGCCGTTGAATCCATGGTTTTATAGCATGTGCCACCGTTTGAGCATAGATACGTTAAACATGGATCAATATAAATCTCGCACATAAGTCCGGTGTATGATGGGATGCATGCGCACGTGTAACTTGTACCAACAGAAAGACATAGACCATTGTTCAGACACGGTTGGCTTACGCACGGACTGATTGGCACTTCACATACTGCGCCAGTGTAAGAAGATGTACATAAACAAAAGCGACCGCCAATATTACTAACTGCATTCGTGATGAAACACGAACCACCGTTAAGACACACAACAGTCGCACAAGGATTGTATATTTCACAGTATAAACCTGAATAAGATGTTGAACAATTGCAAATAAACGTATTTGTTGACGGATTTACTAAGCATTGTCCGTTATTTCTACAAGGTGAGCTTGAACAAATGTTAAGCGGTTGTTGACAATAAGTACCAGAATAACTGGGTAAACATAAACATCGTGTACTATTCAGATCGACTACTCCACATGTACCACCATTTAAGCAGGTAATAACGGAGCATGGATTTGTTGTTGAAAGGCAGTTAATCCCTGTGTATGGAGCCACACACAAACATTGATACATGGAATTTATTGGTACACATGTTCCATTATTGAAACACGGATTACTCAAGCACGGTGATAGTGTAATGTCACATACTGTACCGGTATGTGATGCATCACAAGCACAGAAAAATTGATTTTGTAATTGATAGCATGTGCCACCATTTCTACACGGTTGACTATTACAATAATTGATCTGTTGATCGCAATAGGTGCCAGTAAATCCGGGGAGGCATGTACAGTTATAACTAGTGCCAGCTGCCGTACACGTTCCATTGTTAACACATGGATTGTGATCACAAACGCTAATTGGATGATCACAGATCAGTCCTGTATAACTAGCATTACATAAGCAATAAAATGTACCGTTAATGAGCGAAAAGCAAGTGCCGAAAATACAACGGTTTGGAATACATGGGTTAGCAATGGATTCACATCGTTGACCTGTATATAATTGAGAACATGTACACGTATAAGCTGTAAGAGCAGATGTTGACAGACATGAGCCATTATTCAAACATGGAGTCGATAAACACGGGTCAAGCACATTTTGACAGAAAGTCCCATTAGTTTGTATTGGACAGATGCATCTTGGTTGATAATTTGCGTCTAATACACACATTCCACCATTGAGACATGGATATAACTGACACGGATTCAAAAACGTATTACAGATTGTTCCAGTCCATGGCGGTAGACATAAACAACGGATACTGAAAATTTCATTCAAACATGTTCCATTATGCAAACAGACTGGCGATTGACATGGATTAAGAATTTGTTGACATTGTGGACCGGTGTATGGTGGCGGACAAGCACAAAAACTCGTAGTTAAGTTTACCCCCATTAGACACGTACCGTTATTACCACATGTGTTATTTGAACAGGGTATAGGGAGCTGATCACAGAACAAACCTAAATAGTAAAAGAAACACATCTCATTACCACTATTATTTCCATAACGTTTTCAGTGGAAATTTCTACTATTGCTGCTTATATAATTAGTGATTAGATTAAGCTAAAGTTACACGCTTTCATACCAGTGACATTCGGTGGACATTGACAGGTAAAAGTAGTTGTATTTGCCAACGATATACAAGTACCACCATTAAGACATGGTAATGATAAACAAGGGTTTGTTCGATTTTGACATAAGATTCCTGTATAAGACTGATTACAAACACATGTAGCACCTGTCTGTGCGTTAACATAGCATTGGCCGTTTGGAAAACATGGATTTGAACCACAAAGATCTAACGGTATTTCACAGCTGACCCCCGTGAATAAATTTGGTATACAATAACAACTATATGTCCCATTGGCATTCGGTTGACACGTTCCACCATTTCTACATGGATTCAAGGTTGGATTAGCTGGACATGCTGGTCGTAGTATTTCACATTGAGTTCCAGTGTACAATGTTGTATTACAGGCACAATAATAACTTAACGGCGTGTTACTTGAAAGAAGAGCGGCATTATCAATTCGTTCATAGCATGTCCCGTTATTTAAACAAGGTCCACTGAGACAAGGGTTAACGAACGTGGCACATAACGGATCAGCGAAACCCGTAGGACACATACAAACAAATGAATTGTTCGTTGGTGATGGACTACAGGTACTGCCATGTAGACATGGTGAAGAAGCACACGGATTTATTGGTTGAGAACAGTTGGGATTGTCGAAGCCTGGTGGACAGATACAATAGCTCGTTGATCCGTTGGAAAAAACACAAGTACCTTTGAAAAATAGTACACAACAACATTTAGAAAAAATTATTACCTAAAGAAAGTAAAGATGACATGGAACACCATAGGTGTTATTTTGTGTATGCTGACACTGGAAGAAATTATTAGAGGAAGAAGTTGACAGTGACAAACCATTATTTTGGCAAGGTGATGATAGTAGACAAGGATTTATGATTTCACAGTATTGACCAGCATACATGGGTGGACATGAACATATAAAACCATTAATGCCATTTTGACGTAGTCCACAGGCACCGCCATTGAGACATGGTCTAAAGATACAATTTTGAGATGAAAATAAACATAAAATGTATTTTACTCAGATTTCTCATGAGAATACCATTTAAAAGGCAAAATCTGAGTGGATTATTAAATATTGTACAGCATGTGTAAAAAGTAGAGTTAATGAAACTATTCGATTCATAGTAGATCTTCGAAAGATTATATATATCTTAAAAGTCTGCATAAAATGCACTATTTAAATTATTTGAACAGTTTGTTCTCTTCACGACATTCTAGAAGCGATTCTAAATATACTTTAGAATTGCTATCAACGACTATCTCATTCGTTTTGAATTTTTATTGAAAATTAGTAAAAATGTATAGAACTTGAACTTCAGTCGTTATTTCTGTTTGATAGCTTATTAGCGAAAATCACTAGTATAGAACTTTCTCAGACTATCTCACATACCCTGAATCACAGATTGTTTGTGTACAATTTTGTCCAAAATAGTTCACCGGACAACTACAATTGTAAGTACCGTTCGTGAGTGCTGTACAATTTCCGCCATTAGTACATGGATTTATCGAACATGGATTTAAGTGTGTGCAGTTTTGGCCTAAATACAATAATCTATTCTCATTTTTTGCTATTAGTTAGATACGTCCAACTTACCATCATAACCAGATTGACAAACACAGAGATAAGAATTGATTCCAAAATTTAAACATACACCATGAGCACCACAAACATTCAAACAACAGTAGTCGATATTATTACACAGAGGTCCATTATAACATGAATTTTGACATGCACACATCAATGACCCGTTAGCATACATACATGTACCGTTGTTAATGCATGGTGATGATAAACAGGGCTTATATATTTCACATCTTGTACCGTTGAATTGGTCGGTACAATTACAATACGCATTTGTATTGTTTATTATACATGTTCCGTTATTTAGACAACTTGTATTACGAGCGGCGCATAGATCAATAGCTGAAATTAAACATGATCAGTTCTCATGTTTTTGTTATCATACACGTAGACAACATGCTTACGTGTTTCACAAAGAAGACCAGAATAGCCCGATGAACAACTACAAAATTGTATATTTAGAGAATTTTGAATACATGTTCCGGAATTCTGACAAAAACCGCATAATCCTAAATGATAAATATAAATACTAAGAAATCATCCCGCACGCTTGAAAAAAACGATTTGATGAAGAACATGAATAGATACAAGAACTTTGCGCTCATCAGCGTTATGTAACATGACTATAATAATCTCAATTACCGATCATATTATGTAAAGGCCAAGGCAGTATCTAAATATGCTTTAATTATTACCATAGAATACTTATTACCACATGCAGTACATACATCATTATGCATTATGTCTTTCCGAATGAATTTTAAGATATACTTTAGTTTTGTACTTATCATAATTTTACTCTTTCTTATTCCTTTTTATTGTATTCTTCGAGTTTTTTTCCTTGTATCTTATTCTATTGCCTGATTCTCGTAGAGCGATGAACCTGATACCTTTCTGGTATTCCTGAATAATTATTGATTAAATACATCAAAATGAAATGATTGTTTATCATTTGAGAGAAGTAGATGATAATTCTAAGTAAAACTCAAGTTTTATTCTCATGACTAACGAACGACTACTTAGTCAAACTTGCTAACAAAATCATCGAATTGTTTTCATCTATTTTGAATAATTGATTCCTATAATGTTGTTCATAATACTGAATTCTTTTCTACCTGTTGTATTACAATATTGTTTTTGAAATGTAATATCACAATTTGGCGTTGTACAACACCATGGCCGAACGTCACCTATTGTTACGCAAGAATAATGCGTTCTATTCTGGTATATAAACGGTAATACACATCCATTGACACCTAAACGAACAAATTAGCGGTATGATTAATGAACTATACTTTTCAAATATTACCTTTTATTGGAGTTGTTGGTATCGTTACATTTGATATATTTGGACCCGTTATTGTTATATTAAAAATAATTGTATTATTCGGTCCTGGACTAAAAAAATTAGAAAAAATCTTTACTGTGTAACCGTATAATTGTATTACGTAACTGTATTCATCGATAAATTACCTGATATTCTCGATATTGACCGTTACATTTGGTGTATTATTGAATAATTGTGTAATCTGACTTATAATTGGCCCAGTTATGTTTGCCAATTGTACAGGAGTAATATTTAAATATTGAGAAAAATTTCCTGGAAGCGTTATTGTTGTTAACACAGATTCTATTTGAAATAAGAATACGATTAAAAAAATGATTATGTCAAATGAAATTGTCTCTTACGATAAGCACAAGTAATTCCACTGTATCCATCAGGACATTTACACATATATCCTCCCCATAACGTATTCGATGTACACGTTCCGTTATGCAGACAAGGACCAGATGCACACCAATCAACTATAGTTAAAAAAAGAAATATAGTATAATTGATAATAATGCTTAAATCTACTTCAAATTGAATAATTTACCATCACGACATGGCAATAGTTGTTTATCAAGATCAAAATTAGCAGTTCGACTACACCAAGGAAATCCGTAATCTTTTGTTATACATGTTGTATAAACAACACCATTGTATGTGAATGGGAAAGTACAATTAAATACGGCTAAAACAATAAATGAATTAGGAGATAATCCAAAATACAACACCATCCTTATATTATTTTAATAAAAAATTTCCATTCTAAATGAAAAACTCAAAAAAGTTTCCGTTATGTTTGATAGTATGTTTTTCAAATTTTGTTCATATTTTCTATACACTGAACAATTTAAAAAAATTTGAAAGAAAAAACAAGAGAAATATGTATTCATAGCAAAATTGTTTTAACAAAAGAATTAATTTTTCTACATTACTTGTTATAGGTATTAGATTCGTCTCATTAAATGTTACTAAAAATGGGCCAGCGGTTAAATTTCGATTTAGTTGTGTATAAAACGGTATTTCGAACTGTGGAATAGTAACATTTTCACCAAGAACAGTGATTTGAACTTGGCCAGTTGGACTATAAAAGTATAGTAATAAAAGTTTGAGTTTGAGGAACTATATTAGTTATGTACATACGTAATGACAATACGCGTGGGGACGACGGTTCCATTACTAATGTTCAATATTGTCTGATTTAAACTGTTGACAACTGTTTGATAACCAGGTGTACCCGGTTGATAAAGGGTATAGTTTGTAAAATTCTGTAAATAAACAGTATATTGAGTTTGGACTAAAATTGAGATAATATAGTCATTGACACTACTTCTATGTATCACAGAATAATGATAAATGTTATTAAATCAAATATAGACGAACTTACATTCGTTACAGAATCGTCCAAAATAGGGTGTGACACAAACACATTGAAAAGTTAGTAAATCTAGACGATCGACGCATGTCGCGTTGTTTCGGCATAAGGCACTTCCAAATCTTTTGCAGTATGCTAAATTAACAAAAAATGTAAAGGCTTCTTCACACACGACTCATTGCAGTATAATTAGAATTCAAAGATTGTTAGCTAGCCTTCGATTTCTAGCATTCATCTCACAAAATAATGATTCCATTCTATCTGCTCTGAGTAAAACTTCTGACATCTGTTTTCAACAACTACGATAGGCCATATTTTAATGGACAAAAAGTAGAGGAATATACGGGGATAAGATACTAAAGTGAAGATAATGCCAACACCTACGTATGGAGATTACCGGTATCAGCGACTTATCTTATTAGTGACTTATCTTAACAAGTATAAAGTGACAGTTTTAGAGAGATTAAGCAGCATTTTATGCGTTCCTTTTCTCTTACCGAATTGAGAAGCACAATCTTTCCCAATTAATCCAGTTAGTCGACAATAGCATGTCCAGCCTGTATCACCAGCAATACAAACAACAGTTCCATCTGTATCATTACATGGATTTTCATATGGCGCATAAGGAATTTGACATGCAAGCGGTTCTGTTTTTGGTAATATAACTAAAAATAAAACAAAAATATGTGTATGAATGGTATCTGTCAAACGTAGAGTTAGTAATGACAAACACTAGATAAACTACTTTCTTCACTTTCACTTTTTGGACTCAAAGTTGCAGCGACGCAGTTATTATCCTTCGGCTCATCTAAGATTTTCTCAAATATTACCGTCGGTCGATGCATAACAGTCTTTTTTTTGATCATTTGTATAATTTTTTGAATATGAACAAAAAGCATTTCGTTCGGGATCCATTTGACATACGGCATACGAGACACCATTGACATAGTAAGGTAATGTACAATTTGGCGCAGCTAAAAACTAGAGCTCATTTAGCAAACACAAAGCTTTTGCGAGAAAAGCTGTTACCATTTACTGGTTCAATATTATCGATATCAAAACCACCAGGAGCTAGAATAGCGTTAAATGACGGAGGTAAATTACTTAAAATCGGGCTAAGTGTATTATCGACATCGGCTATGCTTATATTAGCTGGAACTGAAACATCAGCTGTCAACACATAAAATGGTGTGGTTCCCTGTCTGATAAAATAAACTAATGGTTGAAAATTGTAAGTTGAATTGGTACGCTGATGAATAAGATCTGTAAAAGCTTTTGATAAATTTTGATACGTTTGAGTTGTTGGCGATTCGAGAGCATTCAATGATATATTTGAAATGTTCGGAACCAAATAAGTAACTTTTAATTGAAAATATGCTAAAAATAAAACAGAAATGCAATCTTAATACTAAGCGAAATAACTAACTGAATACTACTTACCATGCGTACACAATCTTCCTGTAAAGCCTGCACTACAATTGCACGAAAAGTAGGGAAATGGATTTCCGTTAGCCCATGCTGTATCCGGTCGACATGTTCCATAGATGCATGGATGTTGTGCACAATAATCAACTAAAATTCAATAACTAAATGATGACTTTACTCTATAATAAAAAACATTTTAGACATACTGGTACAATTTTGTCTAATTCTATTTTGATCCTGGCACCATGGAACCGTGCCACCAAAGTAATCAGGAGACATTACACATGTATTTTGAGAGACACCATGGGTATCATTGAATGGGAACATACATCGAGTAATATCTAATAAAAACAAAACAAATAGAAATCATCTAAACTGTCAACTAAAAGCTACTAGTACATACTATATTGACAATAGATACCACCATACCCTGGTAAACATTGACATTGATAATACAGTCCAGTAGAGATACATGTTCCATTATTTACACAATCAGCATCGCTACACTGTATCACTGAAAGACAAAATTATGTTGTTACTCGTTAAAATTAAAACTATCTTTTACTATTCACTTACGTTGATTACATTGAGCTCCTGCGAGACCTGCTGGGCATCGACAATAAGTAAAATTTCTGCTCGTTGCCACGCACATACCAATTGTACATATAACTGTATTACATATGCCTTGATTTATGGGTTCTAAAAGTAGTTTATTACTATTTAGTGTGATGTATTTTGTTTCCAACAAATTATGTATTTATACCTAAGCAAGACGTTGCTTGATTATCCCGGTCATAATTATTGGTCAAAGAACATATAGGGACAAAGAGTGCATTGTATACACAACCACTCACATTGTGACCTTGGTAGATATACCATGGTGCACAAGGTAAACCTAAGAGAGGCGCATGTGGCTATGAATTTCTTCGGTATGAGTTTAATATACTTACTCCCATTTACAAGCAGCGGAGTGTATGACACTTGTAGAATAGTAGAATTGATTCCCTGAAGTGCAGCCGTTGTTAAATTATTTTGAAAATTGAGATAGTTTGTATTTAAATTAATGAGAGCATTCGTTGTGCCATCGGGATTTTGGCTAAACAAATCAGTTGTATACTTTAAAGTTCATTCATTTTCTATTCGTAAACTTTTACCTAATGTAAGTAATTTCAGGTCTTACACCACCAGGAATATTGATGAATGCGGTACCTAACGTTTGATTAATATAATTATTCAACTGTATCGATGCATTACTGCTAGCATTCAAGAAATCTGGAGTAAATGTTGTGTTAAGCGTCAATTGAATTGGACGAAATTCTAAAAAGATAATGGTTGCTGGCTTGTACAAAATGTTTGAAAATATCTCTGACTTACGTAAGTCACAAAAATAGCTCGTATAGTCAGCCAAACAAGGAGAACATTGAAAAAATCCATTTGCTGTCGCAACACATGTACCACGACTACCACATGGATTATTTGTACATGGATTAGAAACTAAGAGTATTGAATGTGTGATAAAATCATTTCTGTTTCTAAGTTTCTCAAAATCTTACTTCCACATGACAGTAATGTAACGGGAAGTAGACCATCTGTACGAGAATTTCTTGCCAAACATACGGACAAATTATTAACAACTGCACATGATGTATAAGTGACACCAATAAATTGAAATGGAAATACACAACCACTCTGATCAGAATCTAAAATATACGAGATTATATGTTAATCAAAATTATTAAATTTTAGAAAAAATTCTAATACATACATAATTCACAAACTGTTCCAGCATTTGCCGGTGAACACGAACATGTTGATCCAGTACACGTAGCATTATTAACACAACTAACAGCCCGAGAATTGACTAGAGGATTACAACTATATACTAGAAGACAGAAGAGATCGATATTTAAACGCTGTTGGACAAAAATTGTGTTGATAAAAATAATACTTACATTGATCACATCGTGGACCGGTAAAATAGTTAGGACAAACACATAAAAAATTTCCGTTGTTATTTTGACACGTTCCGCTATTGATACACGGATTTGGAAAACAGACATCTTTAGTGACATAACTATAGACTGCAAAAAGAATATTAAACATGTAATGGTGATATTTCATCTAAATGAGGAAGTTTTATCTTACGATTTCTTCCACAGTCAATACTGTCTAATTGTGTGCCGCCTCTGTCGATGGCTCTTGTTCTTGAACAAACAAATGTTAGACTAGAATTAGCTGTTTGAATAGGAATGCAAAAGTTATAATCAACACCTTGATAGGCAAATGGAAAAACACATGCTAGAAGAAAAATATAGTGGAATATTCAATTAATCTTTTATAAAGTGAAAGTTTACTGTTAATTGGTGCTGAATCTATGGACACAGGTAAATTAACGCCGTTGATAGTGATGAGGTTGCCACCTGATGTCAACGTTGATTGAGCTGCTTGAATTAGATTAGAAATTGTTGATGTTGGAATAACTGTTGTTGTTGGCACAGACATACTAATCGACACATATGAACCGAATGGACTTGGACTAGAAAGATAAAAAGTTCTTATTTCATGTTTTTTAATTAAAAATACAATTATCTACGCTAAGAAATTAATTGAGAAATTTTTGGGTGATGGAAGTGACGCCAACGAGTTATTGAGCCATGGAAATAAATCATTTGCTAAATTTTTGTACTTAATTGAATCGGTTGTATAAATATAATAATCGGTGGTAAATGGTATGTTAGTAGCTAATAATAAATGATAATATTCTAAAAACAAAATTGACAAATTGACTCATATTTGTTTTGATAATGAATGAAACTACATACGCAAATTGCAGAAAGGACCCTTCCATGTTGTGGGACATTGGCAATAGGAAAATTGACCGTCCCTATTACAGGTACCTCCGTTTAAACATGGATTGCTATCACAAAATGCTAAAAGAAAAAGTTATTAAAGATTAATTGATTGTTTAGATTTTTCTTCTTTTATCGTGATACCTACTTGCATCTACATTAAAACGTTCCCTTGTCGTATTGTATTCAACGAATATTGGCTCACTACGTGCAATTAATGTTAAATTTGAATCGCTATTGGACGTGATGGAAGCGATAAATTGAATATTGCCTACAAATTGAATGGGTGGCATCCAATAGAATACGAATGATAATTTTGTTCGATCAGAATTTTCATTTGTCACTGCTTCTTTGATTGATGACAATGAAGATGCACAATTCAATAGTTGTCCATCATCGGGTGACAATGGTTCCCATGAACCTAATATTTCGGTATCATTCGAATGGTCAGTAAGAATAGCTGCCATTATAAACCAATTATCAGATGTTTCATTTTGACTAATTATTATTTTATACATTTTTGTCTTAAGTTTATGAATTTCTATTAAATAAGATGATGAATTGTGACTATCATCATTTAAAAAGATCAGTTTTGAACATGATGAGGAATAAATCACCGAAATTTCTTGTAATAAAAGAAAAGTTATAAAATTGACTAGATAAAACATTATTTTGGATCTTCCCCACCAGAGTTAATTACAGTCACAAAACGATTGTCACCGGTACCAATATTGATGATATTTTGTTTAATTCATAAGGTAAAAAAATATGTTTACATCTTATTCTACAATATTAATCTCAAATGAAGAAATGGGGGCGAAAATTTCTTTTTTTTTATGACTTTTTAATTTGATTGTGTGTAGGATTAAATAATTGTTCGATGAATATAACTATAGAGTATAATGGCAGTGAAAGAAATATGGAACAATAATTTGTTATTTATAATAAACATTATCATTGACGAATAAAAAATATGATTTCAATCGAACAATTCTACTATGTTATGGAAACATTGCGTAATTACAAGAAAGATGATAGTTAAACCTACCCTAACAATTAAGTTGGGATTAGAATGTAAAATTTGTTCTGCAGGTATTTGATTGTAGCTTGAGTTACTAACAATATGCTTCGTTTCTGACACATGGACTGGCATATTCTTTAGATACAAATAGAAATTTATGTAGTCAAGCTATATTCAATTAGGGACAAATATTGTACAAAAGAAACTATAAAAAGCACTAGAAAATGACTCTTCTCAGTTGAAGTGTAAGACCGTTGGAAATCGGTTTTTGATCTTGTTCATGGTTTCGGAAACTTTTTTCTACTCTAAAGAGATGATAGACTGTACCGGCTTTTTTAAGTATTTGATCGTCTTTACGCAATAAACCTCAACGATGTGAAATTAAAGTTATGTTTCCATAGTCAATTTTCTACAGGTTAAGTTCGTTTACGACTAAAAATTTCTAGATTAGAGTAGGCTATACATTATAAAAAATTTTTATTGGTTAGAGTAGAGACTTCAAGAAAATTACAGAAATTTTTCTTTCTTTTACTTGCAATGGTTGAATTAAAGAAAAGTACTAAGGAGAAAATTGAATCTATAAACGAAAATTTCATTGTCTAATTTTTTGTACGATGTCTTCCATATTCAATATTAATTGATATTTTCATACTCTAATTATGAATGATATAATTGAATAATTTATCGTTGATTTTACTAAATTGAACATTTCTACTATTTAAACCTATTGAAATAATTATAAATTTAATCATTTTTCTGCCATTTGTCTTAGAAAATATGAATAAATGGATCTAAAATACCATTAATTGTTAAAATATTTCAACTAGCCATTTTTTCTTTCATTCAGTGAGTGTATTCTCTAGTGAAACGTCAACTATCCAATATTTTGATTGATATCGAACTATTCTCTTACATTTAGAGAAGTCCATCGATTTCATGAGCATTTCGATAGGAATTGACTATTGACTACCGTATGAACTATTTCTTGTTTATAAATAAAATAGGATACTTCAGGGTAACTCCCCCATTTAGTATTAAAAAGAAAAAAGGCAAATAAGATTCTAAAGAGAATTGTTAATATATAACATCTCGTACAATTGTGTATTCGTTCGTTTTCCATTTGTGCCATTAATACTGACATTACGGTGTGGTCATGTAACTCCGCTAATGGAGAGCTCTTCAACCGAATTGTTTTTTTCTGATTTTATACTCACTACATGTAATAGTCACCAGAACAATATCAGCCTGGGATGGATTCAATCCTGTTCCAGAGCCTTTCGTAGGGTAGTCTCAGCTTCTTGAGGTCAATTTTAGGGAAGATTTCGAATGAAAACATGAGTTCTTTCTCTCTCGTCTAGCGCTTTTCAACGTAGAGACCTGCTACCAAGTTAGATCGGATTCGGATTCCGTTTTCTTAATCTGTACAGGTCTCTACTTCACGGTCTTGATTCACAGGATGAACTGTGCAGAATATTTTGAAATGCTTTCACATTCTTTTATTGATATAGACCATAAATCTGAACGTGATGTGGGTAAGCTTTAAACTGTCCATTACAGTTTATTCTATCAAGTATAAACTTTTCCATTTTTTTGTGTCTTTGTTTGTATTTATTATCTTGTTTTAGTAAACGACAATAAGAAGAGACGAAAACAGTAATTTTAGTTTTTTATGCAATGATTTATTGATAAACTATAAGTGACGATAGCGTTACTTAACTTATATTCTACTCCGAGACGTAGATTATTCTCAACACAAAAGAATCCCGGAATTGTTGCATTTAACCGGATTTTGAAGTCTAAGAATTTTGGTGGAATTCCTTGAAATTCAGGAACCCACACACATCTGTTCCCAGTGTTCCATCTAGTAACTTATGCACTGATTTATCAAAGTCATCGGAGTTCTATCGCCCATTTTTTTCTTTCACCTCATGTATAACAATGAATTGAATAACAAAATAAGTGAGCACAAGAATAAATTGTTTATATACAAAATAAGAGAGGATAAAACTGACTTTTTAAAAATATAATGACGATAATAAAAAAGAACTAGTGTGAGTATGTGTGCTGACGCTTAGAGAATAAAAATGACTATAAAAGAATTATATACGCCTAAAGTTAAACAATAACAACGTCAAAATCAAAAAAAATAGTGACCATGTCAACGTAACACAAAATGATTGCTGAATAACAACATGGTTCATATTCCAACCTAAAAGCAAAGATGAACTTTCTACAAGTACTACAAGTAATACTTTTTTTTTCTATCGGTAACTGAACGAGATAAACCATCCTAGCATAGAGATAAGAATGGATTTCATTCATAACTATTCGACTTGACCACGTAACTCCAGTATTACCATGTTTTTTCTACTTCGTATTATTTCCATATGTCGAATGAAAGACATGTGTAGAACTCTCTAACATCTTGTTTCACAGAATGAACTGGACTGAACATTTTGAAACGTTTCCGTACTTTCTACAATCTTTAGATTTGTAGATATATCAAGAATATTGAAAGATACTTCTGCAACTACGCCAGCATTCTTAATATATCTACAAATCTAAAGATTGTAGAAAGTACGGAAACGTTTCAAAATGTTCAGTCCAGTTCATTCTGTGAAACAAGATGTTAGAGAGTTCTACACATGTCTTTCATTCGACATATGGAAATAATACGAAGTAGAAAAAATATGACAATACCAGAGTTACGTCGGTAAACCACACTAGAAAATACCTCAAAACAACCCTCTCGATTATATCGTACCTTTTAGTAGAATTCCTCTCATCGCATCAACGGGTTTTGTCATTGGTAACCATTTGGTTACTCTTCTCATCCTGACTGATTGACCTTCAAGTGGCCAGAGAATACCTATAATAAAATATTTTGTCTGAATTCTACTCATTTCATAATATGACAATTAGTTTCTACCACAGAGTAATAACACAGGATAAAACGTTGATATTGTCACTTGATGAGCATTTATTTCAGTAGCGAATATCGATGATAAAACGAGACCTATACAAAAACCATGTTTAACTCCATCACATAGCGGCATTTAAAAAATCTTACCAAATGTCATCCCACAAAAACCTTGTGCAAAACATAGAAGCGCAACATACAGTAAATGTCCAATGCATGGAATCTAATGAAGAAAAAAATAAAATGACAATCAAGTATATTATGCTATACACATTTATTCGTCGAACATACTTTAAACACGTATAACGCTGTGAATAAAACAATTGATATTTGAATAATAAGAACAACAGAATGTACAATCATCTGACTAAATATAATCTCACTCGACTTTACACCTACAAACGAGATATCTGTTCGCTCATACCGCGTTTTCTGGTGTATTTTACTTTACCTGTAACCCATATACGATCTTGCGTACCTTTTAAAAATACAAACTAGCAGTAAATATTGCTAATAATAACAATATCATCTAACTATGAAACGTACCTTCACATCTCTCGGTGACAAGACTCAGTGCTGTAACAGCCATAGTCATGAAAAATATGATGCTAAAAAATGTGGAATAAAGCACGGCTCACAAACGAAATGAACTCTCCTTCGATGTCTACATACGATAAAATAATGCCAGGTGCCATAAAATAGGTAAATTCTACGTCTCCATTGCCATCTAAAGAGTTTGGAAACTAAAGAAAATAGGCATGGTTTTAAAGAAATTCTGTTTTTGTTGTATGCCTGTATAGCGTATTCAATTAGGATGCGACCTGTATCTACCAGATAGAAGTGAGTCACACGAACAGTGAAATGTATATATCTATAGAGTGTGGTCCCACGGTTCAAATCCTTCTGTCGGACTTGAAATAAATTTCTTTTGGAATGGATATCTCATTGTTTTTCACTTGTAAGGCACAGCATCAGTATGTAGTGGCCATGACTTGATCTTTTCATAGAATGATTGCTGAAACCATTGAGTCTCTACTATTTTTCTGTCAAAGGTATTCAAACAATATCGCAGTTCATTCATTAGATTTTAACAGGAATAGGAGTCTATTTTGCGTGTCGGTTCAAATCAAAATATTTGTGAACTTCACATCTAACTACTTGTATATTTTGTATGTTTTGTGCATAATAAAGATAGATAATTTGTGATAGCATACGGTGATTAGTGTTTTATTTGATTGCGTAATTTGGGCATCATTATAGTCGACATCGAAAGTTTTCAAGATTTTCATAAATTCTTCACCAACTGTATAAACAAATTGTTGATCTAAAATATCATTTCATATTTAGTATATACTATCTTCGTTATTCTGTGCAAATAAGATACTTGTTCGATCCAGATAAACGGATAGTTGTGAATCGTGTAATCGAACTGGCTCTGTATACGAACTAAAAAGCCAATATTATTCGCATATATGTTTTAATTTGTTTCGATTAACTTACCAATTTGTCATCTTATGATATAATTCTTTGGTGAAATTTCCTCCAATATCGATAATGCCAGATGTTCGTCCAATGTCTAGTGAATGTTGTGCATCCATTAATGAGTCATACTCAATCTAAAGGAAGATAAGGAACAAAACTGTCTTCATTCTAGTGCAGAGCAGAGTTGTGATTCTGAAATGAGAGACTAAAGAGCAGAAATCAGTTGCCCTTCACATCTTCAATGCAAAGTTGGATGAGAGTTGTCTCTGTAACGAAACGAATTTTTATTGATAAACGTACAATATTGAAGATTATTCGATCAATTTTTGTTAAAATTATTTCTGTGGCTGTTCCTGGTCGATCATATTCTCGTGTGACAAATGCTATTGGTAAACCGGTTAATTTTCGTCCCACACATAAACAAAATAACGATATCTGTATGACTGGTACGAGAAATTGTATGACAAGCATTCTGCAATGAGATGAATATGTCAAATGAACAATCTGTGATTACTTGAGAGACACGTACAATGGGTTTCTTTGAAACTTAATGACATCTTTTATCAATAATGCATGAAGTGAATGAACAAATGATTTATTGCAACATGTTCGAATCGCGATCAAACACGTATTTTTAACTAAAGGACAATGAACTCCAACAAAACTTAAAACCTGATTGAAGTAGTTTTCATCCTTTACCTAATAATTTTTGTTTACATCTATAAACCAAAGACCCAGAACATTGTCGAACCTGAAAGAACAAGATATCTGTGCAAATATAATGCTAAATTAAATAAAGATAAAAACTTACGCTCTTCACACCAGGTACTGATAGCTTCTTAGTCTCATGAGAATACTGATGAATATCACAGAAATCACGTTCTTCACTAAGTTCCAAAAATACACCTTCTAATGTCTAAAATGAGAGCGGTTCATCGTAGATGAAAAAATTTGGCAGTGGACTTTTTCGCATACCTGTTGTTCATGGCTCTGCATCAGTTCATCTGGTTTTCCTGTTTCTAATAATTGTCCTCTTCTCATGAATGATATCTTTATTAAAAATAATATGTCTTATAGCTAAGTGAAGGTTTATGAGTTGCATAGAAGAGCTTACCCAATTTGCCTGTCTCGCTTCTTCCACATAATGTGTAGTTAAAATGGCAGTGACATCACCTTTTAAGGAGATTTCTGTTAAGTGATTCCATATTCTAAGATAAAAATGAAGAAAAATTTATCATAAGCTGATCCCCTTAAAATGGGAGACAAAAGGTAACGGCACTTGTGTTTTGAACTTTTAACGGGTGTGGCAGAGAAAATGAGACTTTTTTGTTTTTGCTACAACTCGGTCAGTTTCCGATTGGTCCAAACTTTCTTTTAAAAGATGTGTGAAATACTCTGCAAAATCATACCTAAACTAACTTCAGAACTTCAATCAAGAAAACTAAGCCAATTAGATGAAAGTCGAAAAAATGTAAACTTTCTAAACTCAAAAATGATTTCTTGTGTTAACGTTCTGAAAGTAAGAAAAACTCAATTAGCCATTTTATAGCCCTGACTTCGCTCTATCTTTTAGCTACACTTCAGATTTTTTCACATCAAAAGCCAAAAAATTGAGCACATTGTTGGAAACGGAGAGGTTGTCAACTTTTGATATATATTTTGGTAACTTCGTTCTCGAGCACACCATCTGCTCTAAAAAACGTTTTTTACAGACGAGATAGAGCACATTTGAAGTACCAAACATAAACTGAGTTCCCTTTTGGTACACTTTTTAGCGAAAACAGTAGCAGAACCTAATTGGCTTAGTTTTCTTGATTGAAGTTCTGAATCTATAGTTTAGGTATGATTTTGTAGAGTATTTAGCAGCGCATCTTTTAAAGATAGTTTGGACCAATCGGATTTTAAAACTGACAGAGTTGTAGCACAAAGAAAAAAGTCTCATTTTCTCTGCCACACCCGTTACATCAACAGCGATAGTTAGAGCAATCTGAAAAAGATCTGAATAGCTGAAAGATAGAGGTCTGCTGGACAGTCTCAGTCCCGGTCTCGCGGGACTTTTTACGGGACAGGGACCGGGATCTAGAGGTCTACGGGACGATCCCGATCCTGCGGGATTGTCCGGGTCCCGTGGAACTTTTAATAGGACCGCGATCAGGTTTTTTTGAAAATAGTCTTGTATGAAGTAAAAAAATTTCTTTGAAAAAATATTTACGGGACCACGGGACCGGGACCAAAAACGTTTGGTCCCGCAGACCTCTACTGAAAGAGTGTCGTATTACGAGAGATGCATGCAAAACTTCGATCATAATTGACAGAAATAGATTCAAAGCAAGCAAAATGAGCGCTTTTCAATAAGATAAAAAATGCGAGTCCTCCAAAACAGAGTCCAGGCTAACCAGAGTCGCTGGTAAAGCGGTTAGTGATATTTAGAGATTTTCGACCAAGCTGAATTCACTGGTAATATCAGTTTTCCTTAATTTTGAACTTCGCACTGGAAGTTGAGAAAACTCGGATTTTGAGCTGAAAGGTTTTGAGTATTTTTTAAAACGTTCAGAGATAAATAAAACCCTTTTTCGGTAAGCCGATTGTACTCTCAAAAACAAGTGCCCCACCAGCTAAAAAGGCCACTTTGATGGACCATGAATGGGACACTTTAAGTGCCACGCTCTGAGACACTTCAAGCAGAAAAATGTGTCCCATCGAGAACAGTGCCTCACCATGGATTTGAAATATAATAACTACGAATTACAAAATTATCAGCGATTACGTACTCAGTAGTACACATTTTTATGACAACTGAGTGGAATGATGTATCTCCCTCAAGTTAGTTATTCGTGCTCGCTTATTCTAGACATTAAGAAAAAAAAATCGTTTGATTGTCTAACAACTGCAGATAAATGATCTAAAGATAATTTTTTGTGCTGTAATCCATCTAAACATGATTATATCTTCAAAAATGTTGTCGTTTTCCTCTATGGGATAACTAATTGGAATAATAGTGTTTTCTGTAGCGTATACAAGTGTATCTGGATAACGCATGCAGTACAAAGTATCTGATATAAGATTTTCTTAACTTTAAACGTTCTATAGAATAGAGAAAAGAACACAAACATGGCTTTTTGCAAGTTATTTGCAAAGATCAAGTTTGTGTGTTCGATCCTGACTGTATGAAAAGATTGATTTTGAATTGTAATACTTCAACGAACGGAATGATTTAAAATAATTATTGTGTCTTGGTTTGTTCTCGTTAGTAAGGTGCCGCTAATTCAAAAATCAAGCACTCTTCATTTTTCCTTGAAAGACACATCATCCGATGCAGAATTTTGTGCTGATTACGAATATCACCTTTTTAGTTCGATTTGTTTGAGTTTTGTGT